CCTCCTGCGCGCACGTGCCTGGCCGGGGGCCCCTGTGACGATCCCCCAGCCCGGGCTGCCGCTCCGCGCCCGCTCAGGCGGCGCCAGCCCTACCGGGGCCGCAGCCATCAGCCGAGGGGAGCGGCGCCTGCCGGGAGAGCGGTGAGAGAAGCCAGGGGTCGCCCTGCAGCCTTTTTACAAGCTGCCCCCTCTGCTCCGGGGGGAGCGAGGGGCACGTGGCTTAGCCCCCCGCGGTTACTGCGACGCTCGGTCCTAGAAGCTGTTTCCAGGCCGGAGCATCCTGGGCAGCCGCTGGTGCCAGGGACGTTGGTTTTCACTTGACACGGATCAGACCGTTGGGGTTGGCCCGGCCGATCACTTACTGGCCAATTTGGGCGTCTTCTTGCCCACAAAACAACGTGCTTCTCCAAGCGCACAGCGGCCTGCCGTCCACAAATAGTGCTACGTGGTCCTGTGTTCTGCTTCAGTGCCTGGTCTGTAACTGTTCTGTTAGTCTTTAAAGTGCTCCATAGTCCTGTATTTGGTTTCAGCTACACCAGACTAACAGGGCTACATCTCTATCACTGGTCTGTAACTGACAAGCATATTGGAAATTGGGGCTGTTTCACGTGAGGGTATAGGTCTGGGGACCCAATAGGAGAGCCTCTCCTCTTACAATTGTGCTTCCGAAGTCAATAGTGGTGATTACAAAAGCCCAGTCTGCTTTCAGTGCGAATTCTGTGACGCTTGCTTGGAATGAGCTGTGTACTGGCTAGAATATTCACGGAAGACCAAGATGTGTGCGTGACCAGTAGAAGCTTGTTGGAAAGCTTGGATGGATTCATACTACAAAAACTGTCAAAAAAAATCCAAATACAGGACTATGTAGCACTTTAAAGACTAACAAGATGGTTTATTAGATGATGAGCTCATCTAATAAACCATCTTGTTAGTCTTTAAAGTGCTACATAGTCCTGTATTTGGATTTTTTTTGACAGTTTTTGTAGTATGAATCCACTTGTACCTACACTTGACCATTTACCCGGAACTGTCTTTCTCCCTAGAAAACTAAATGTAACTGCTGACTTTTTCTGAATGTTCATCTATTTAAAAAAATTAGATCCAGCTATGTTGCTCAGGAGTGTGAAAGTAATATGCCCCGACCATGTTTCCTGTAAGATATGTGGATGGGCGTTTCTGCAGCTGCACAGGAGAGGTTTAGATGATGCCCTACTGATGAGCAAGAGTACCCTCAATTAGACTTTTTTTTTTTTTTTTAAACTGGTGGTGGACATTCACACATGCCTCAGTACGCATAAACATTTATTCTATGCATGAACAGAAAAGATTGTTCCCGGGGGGGCAATGTTCCCTCTAATGTCGTTAGGTCACTTTAAGTTCCTATGTGGACAGTGACCTAGCTACTGTCTCTTAAGGTGTTAGAATAACAACTCTGTCAAAAGAACCCATCCTGTTGCTGTAACACCTCTACCCTGAGGTGCTACATGGCACTGCTGTAGCTGAGCCAGGGTAGCGTTTTAAATGCAGACATTTCCATGAGGCCAGACACCATGAAGGGAGTTGCCTTGTTCTATTTTATTTATATAATGTACATGCAGATTTTTTTTTTTAAACTGTCACAGTCTTTGCAAGCTTTCCTGCACTAACTTCTACCTATATTGAAATAGTAAGACAGACTCAGGCTTTTCTGCTCTTAAAGCTTGTATTCCAGCAATGAAAAAAACAAGTTCATTTTTATTGGGGTAAAAGGTAAGAGTCATAGCCAAGAAATGGCAGCCTTTATGGCCCTTGCATTCAAAGTCTACTTTAGTCATTGGCGTGTTGAGTCCTTGAGCAAGTCAGAACTCGTACTCTGTCTATCTGGTCTCTGAAGTTTGGTATTAGTACTTATTTTGCAGGAGTCTTGTGACTTAATCTGTATTTGAAAAGTCCATTGAGGGTCTTGGATAGAAGACTCCTAGGCTGTGTCTAGACTGGCAAGTTTTTCCGCAAAAGCAAAAAACTTGCCAGCTGTCTACACTGGCCGCTTGAATTTCTGCAAGAACACTGACGATCTCATGTAAGAAATCAGTGCTTCTTGTGGAAATACTATGCTGCTCCCGTTTGGGCAAGAGTCCTTTTGCGCAAAAAGGCCAGTGTAGACAGCTCAGATTTGTTTTGCACAAAAAAGCCCCGATTGCGAAAATGGCGATCGGGGCTTTTTTGTGCAAAAGCACGTCTAGATTGGCACAGATGCTTTTTTGCAAAAAGTGCTTTTGTGGAAAAGCGTCTGTGCCAATCTAGACTCTCTTTTCCGCAAATGCTTTTGACAAAACTTTTCCGTTAAAAGCATTTGCGGAAAATCATGCCAGTCTAGACGTAGCCCTAAATTTCTTTGGATTTGCACTATGAACGAGTGATTGCTATTTTTAAACAATTTCTTGTTTTTTATTGAAGGGCACCAATCACTTACCAATTTTTCTGAATTTGCAGGAATAAGTAAGATTATAATAAGGGCCCAGACTCCAGAAAAAATAAAAAGAGGAGTAAAGAAAAATATTTAAGGGTCTGTTCAAGAGCGTCTGGCAGTCCAGATTTGGACTATCGACTAAATGATGGCTGAGGTTTAATTAGGTATTCTTAAATCTAGCATTACTCTTGTTGGTCAGCATACTTATAACTCTTCTCTTCAAAAAACTTTTCCTTGTTTTGCCCTTGTGTTCCCAGTTTATGATAAATCTAATCAATAGGCTGGAATGAAAATGGACATGTAATCAGTTTTTTGGTTGATATGACTTCTTACACATTTAGTGCAGCATAGCGATAACACATCCAAGTTCCACACTAGTGAAACTCATTACTTCTCTTCATAGTGATTCTCTTCATTCAGACACTTCTAGATCAAAGACTAAACTACAAAGTCCTGTGTAGATAATTATTCTGAGATTAGTCCTTACTAAGTGTACAATCTCAGAACCTTTTTATCTTGAAATAATAGTAGCTAATTACATATGCTGTTGGGGATTTCTTCTATTCCATAATATTCAGCCTAGTACTAGCCAGATCTTTCTAAAATTGAATCACATTCATAAGTGTAAATAACTAATTGACACAATACTTGTCAGCTGTCAGATAGATAAAGGGATGTAGGAATAGACCTTTCAGAATGTTCTTTATAAATCCATGGATATCACAGCACTATAATTAACCATCTTGTTAGTCTTTAAAGTGCTACATTGTCCTGCATTTTGCTTCAACTACCCCAGACTAACACGGCTACATTTCTATCACAGCACTATAGACAGGATGTAGAACAACTGTTCTTATAACTTTTTTTTTCTGTGAATTTATACTCTCTGCATGTTGAGTTGCTTTCCACTCGCTCCTTTATCATCTATCTCCAAAAATATGGATGAAATATTTGTAATTACATGTTAGGAATGTTTAAATTCTTCTGTAGATCTCCTTTCATTCAAAAAAATGAGGAAGGGAATACTTTGCCAGGACAACTCTTAACTCTGCTTATTTTTCATTTTTAAAAAGTACTATGCTGAACATATGGCTAGCAGTATCATTAACCAATAGATGTAGATATCTGAATTTCTAACTAGTCTAAGTCTTTAATACAGTATTTTCTAAGTTGGTTCATTTGCCCAGAATTAATCCTTCCCCCTTATGAAACAGGCTTTACACTGATCTGCAGATTTGTTTTAGTGAGTAGTTTTAGTTGAAAATGTTGCCTTTGTGGGGTATTTATTGTGCCAGCCACTTAAAACACATAGGCTGTGTCTACACTGCACCCCTTTTCCGGAAAAGGGATGCAGATTAGACACTTCGGAATTGCAAATCCGCGGGGGATTTAAATCCCCCGCGGATTTGCAATTCCGAAGTGTCTAATCTGCATCCCTTTTCCGGAAAAGGGATGCAGATTAGACACTTCGGAATTGCAAATCCGCGGGGGATTTAAATCCCCCGCGGATTTGCAATTCCGAAGTGTCTAATCTGCATCCCTTTTCCGGAAAAGGGATGCAGATTAGACACTTCGGAATTGCAAATCCGCGGGGGATTTAAATCCCCCGCGGATTTGCAATTCCGACTCGTCTCATTAGCATCCCTTTTCTGGAAAGGGATGCCAATGTAGACATAGCCATAATGTACTTGGCTGCATCCTATAAATTAAATCTGGGGCTTCCTTTAAAAATTTGTATTGGCAAAAAAAGACAACTATTTTAATGTCTTTTTTTCCTTTTCTACTTAGGTATACATATCGTAACATATTATCTGTTTATTGGAGACTTCTTATTCCACAGTAACCAATAAGCAAGTGAACCATGAGGACAAATCCTGCCATTCAAGCTGCCATCGACCTCACAGCAGGTGCAGCAGGTAATAATGGAGAACTCTATTTTCAGAGTCTCTAAGAATCTGATACAAACAAGTTTGTGCTTTTAAAGGAATAGTCTCTCAAGTGTAAACGGTCATCTGATTGCTAACGATAGAGGTTTGTCAGCTTGTAATTCCTATTACTACTTGAATCTGTAGAAAGAGGCACATCTTCCACATTTGGAAAAAAAGTTGAGATGAAGGAACTGATCTAGCCCACTGTTGCAAACATCTGATAGGTTAATATCACTCCACTGAAATCAATACCAACAAGTAAATATGTAACCTCTTTCAGACTAATAATTTTCTAAAGTAGGGTTGAGTACATCAAATGTGTATTTTCATGCTCACATGAGTGTCAAATGTCAGTCACAAAGTTTTGCAATGAAGGCAAACACCATGTGCAAGCAAAGTGATTGAGATAAAGCTTCAGTCCTAGAAACTCTAACTGAAAAGGGCAGAAAGCTATCTTAAAGGGTTATCTCTTTAATCAACATTCAGAAAGTCTCTTTGGACCGTGAGGAAAGAATGATATTCTGAATTATGTAACATAAGGTTCACTTAAGTTGTTCCTCTACTTAGCCACAAATTCTCAATTTTTATAACCCATAAAATATGGTAAAGGATGAAACATTAGGAGAAAAATTTGTTGTGAGTCACAAAGAGGATAGAAAATGCATAACTCTGTACTGCTTCTAAACACTGCTGGTGCTCTAAATATTCAACACAGCCATCTAATCACATCTCTTCCATATTGAAGTCTAGCTAATTCAGTGAATGTCTACACAGCAAAGAACCCACAGCTAGCTTGTGCCAGCAAACTTGGGCACATGGGGATCAAGCTGTAGGGCTCTTTCATGGCTGTGTGGGTATTTGCATTCAGGCTAGACAATAGGCTATAGGAGCCTGAGAGGTGGGAAGGTCCCAGAAAGATGGTGGCACATAGGGGAACAGGTACAGCTACCATTATCCAGGGATATGCTCCTTTAAAATCATTCAGGGTTTCTACGAAGCTACTCCCCCTTGACTCTGTCCAGGTATATTTGTTTTGTTGACTTGTGGCTATTTAGAATATAACACATTTGAAAGCCTCCACACAAAGGCCATCTTGGCTGCTGGAAAGGAGAGTGACCCTTCTGTTTGTTTCCCATTACCTCATCGCCACCTCAGAGCAGCCTATTTCTGTTGGTCTACCCTTTCACCTTGCTTCTGTGGCCTGATATGATTCACAAGCATCTGTTGCTGTCCCAGAGTAGTACAGTGAAATTACTGTTTTTTTGTTTTTTGGTTTTTTTTCCCGCTTCTATTGATAACTCACATTATGTAGCAACAGCAAAAACTCACATTTCTGGTCAGCGTCATAGGCACTGGAGAAGTCTGTCTTTAGACTTGGGATAATAAATTGCTGAATGTAGGGTCCTATTAGCTGTCATGAGGGCTAGCAAACCTTTCTTTCATTTAAAGGGACGTGTCAAACGTGATTGCATTTCTCTCCCTCCTTTTTCCCACCTCCAGCCCCAAGGCTGTAACAAGGGCGCAACATAATCAGGGGCACAAAGATGCAATAATTAAAAATAATCTGCAAAAGTAAAGAGCACAATGCATGCTAACCTCAGGAGAAGGGGAGGCAAATACAGGCAGTCCCCGAGTTACGCGGATCCGACTTACGTTGGATCCGCAGTTACGAACGGGGCCCTCCGTCCCTCTGGTCTGCAGCTGGCTGTCTGGGCTGTCAGCTGGCCGCATGCTCCGCGGCTTTGCTCTGCTTTGCCCCCCGTCCCCCTGGTCTGCAGACCAGAGGGACGGGGAGCAAAGCAGAGCAAAGCAGAGCAAAGCCGCGGAGCACGCAGCCAGCTGACCAGCCAGACGCGTCTGCAGACCAGGGGGACGGGGAGCAAAGCAGAGCAAAGCCGCAGAGCACGCGGTCAGCTGACAGCCCAGATGGTCAGCTGACTGCGTGCTCCGCGGCTTTGCTCTGCTTTGCTCTGCTTTGCTCCCCGTCCCTCTGGTCTGCAGACCAGGGGGACGGGGGGCAAAGCAGAGCAAAGCCGCGGAGCATGCGGCCAGCTGACAGCCCAGACAGCCAGCTGCAGACCAGAGGGACGGAGGGGCCCGTTCGTCACTGCGGATCCCACCGAAAG